CCCCCCCCACCCAGCCCAATCTACCTTAAGGTAAAACAGGGAAGAGGAAAGACACGTATGCTGCCCGAACTACTTGGAGGATGGTCAGACAAAAAAGAATGATCGTTTTTGAGGCTGAAAGTCTGGCTGATTAGCTTGAGGCTGGTAGGGGAAAGGGGGTGTCCTTCAAGCCCCCCTGAACTCTAAAAGCAGGACACCTGTTCCCACGTTGTATGTGATTGGGGCACACCCAGGTAGGGCTCTTTTTGTAGCAGGAGTTCCCTTGCATATTAGGCGACACACCCCTAATGTAGCCAATCCTGCAAGAGCTTACAGTAGCCCCTGTAAGAAGAGCTCTGTAAGCTCTTGGAGGATTGGCTACTGTAGGGGGTGTGTCACCTAATATGCAAAGGAGTTCCTGCTACAAAAAGAGCCCTGCAAAACAAATCGGCCTCTGTCCACATTGCCTGGTTTTGAGTTGGTAAGAAAGCTTCCCCCAAGCACTCCTTTCCCAGTGCCCACCGCTATTTGCCAAGGACACTTGCTGGTGAATTTTAGATTACTCTGTGGATTGATCCCAGGGGACACTCCAACTCTAGGGCTAAATCTCTGCACCAGGCAATCCAGGGGTTTGATAGTCCTGGCTTCTCCAGTCCCTGGGAAACCCTGAGAGTTTACTTCGGGGGGGGGGGACATAGCAGTTTTTGACAAATACTTCTCATCCCTGTCACTAAACTACAGTTCTCACAGTTCCCCATGGCAAAGCCAGTTTAAAAATGAATGTAGACTTCTCTTGTGCCCATTTCTTTCCCTTGGTTTAATGTTTGTCTGTGTCAAGGATCATTGTCCTTTTCTTCCCCAGCCACCTTTTGGCTAAACAGCTGCTTCCAAAGAAGGACGCTGGCCTCCAAACCAGTCCTTGGCTTCACCTGTCTTTTTTGCTGCCACAGCTGGGCAATCCGTGGGTTCTAGAGTTTAACACATGTTGTAGTGGCTCTCGATAGGCCAGCGGACAATGGCTATTCCGTTTCTCTCTTAAGGGTTAGGGCTGCCTTACCTGCCAGTGTGGTTTAAAACGGACGATGGCAGGGTCGCCAACTCCGACACGGTGCGGGTAACTTCTCAATGCACAGAGGGACCAAGTGAAGTTGTAGCCGCTGTGCCCCTTTGTCCACCTTCCCCTCCTCTCCTGCGGTCCCCTCGCCCACCTCTCTCTGGACAGAGGGACCAAGCTTCCCAAGCTCAGTTGCAGTCATTTCCTTGTTCACCTTTGTCCAATCGGATCCCACCTTTCCCTAGAGCAGGAGATGGTGAGGCATGGGTGAGAGGACCGGTACAGAAGCGGAACCAGGATGAGTGCAGCAGGGCATCATTCTGGGTGAAGACCTCTCCGTTCTAAAGGAAAGGCATGTGCGCAGGGCACAATGGAGTGGAGGAGGAGAAAAACATGCTGTCGAGTGGGCAACCAACCTGTACTGGCCATCCCAGCTGTGGGAGAGATGAGCAGAGGGCAGGCCCATAGCCAGGGTTTTTTTTAAAATTCAGGGGACTTTTAAATAAGTCGAGGGGCACCCCGCACCCCCCCAAAGGAGCACCATAAATTAAATAAAAATGGAAGTCAGGGGGGCCTTGGCAATAAGTTGGGGGGCCAGGCCCCGAGATGCCCCACTGCGGCCACGGGCCTGGCAGAGGCGGTTTGACAGAGCCTTCCTCCATGTAGCAATCCCCGTCTTCCTTGGAAGTCTCCCAAACCGTGGCCGGCCCTGCTTAGCTTTCGAGGTCTGACGAGCCGGGGCCCTGCGGGGCTATTCGAATTGCCACAATGAGAAAAGTCCAACCCAAATCTCTCTGTCACCCTTTCCCCCAGTTTGTTCGATCGCCTTCTTTGCAGTAAGGAGGGGGGAGGGGCAGCTGAAAAACAAAACAAACAGGAAGGCCGTTAATAGCTTAAAATCTTTATTTCCCGAAACACGAGGTGAACAAAGCAATTTTGTGGTACTTTAAAGATCCCGCTGTACATAGCACCTGCCCTGTGGAATGCCCCTTTTTCCTGTTAAGTTGTTTCTCCTGTTTGTTTTTGCACTGCCATGCAAAGTACATTTTAAAATATAAATATATATTTAAAAAAATAGAGAATATGATCTCTGTTTAGAGTTAAACAGAATAACTTTTTTTAAAAAATCATTTTAATTTGCCCCCCCCCATAATTATCATTTATTAATAATTGGTGTACATTTTGTTGTGAAAGATAAAGGGGAGGGGGGGGAGAATGTTTATCAAGATGCATTTTTTAAAAAAAAAAACCAAAACATACTTTCGTTTTCAGCCCTTAAAATGGGGGCTAAGGGGGGTGGGGTCGGTTAAGGGCTTCTGTTTGTTTGTAACATTTTCTTCTCTGTATATTGCAAATAATTTAAAACCTATTTGTAAAACCATCTGACTCTACTCAAAATAAAGACATATTTAACCTAGCCGCCTCTGAATGTTTCATCCACGTTCAGGGCCAATTAGGGTTTGACATCTACTTTGGCCACCCAATGAGAAAGGAGCCCTCACTGGAGAAGACCCTGATGCTGGGAAAGACTGAAGGTCAAAGAAGACGGGGACGGCAAAGGATGAGACGGTTAGACAGTGTCATCGATGCAACGAACATGAAATTGAGCAAACTTCGGAGCACGGCGGAAGACAGGAGGGCCTGGCATGATCTGGTCCATGGGGTCATGAAGAGTCGGACTCAACTGTGTGACTGAACAACAACAACAAAGGCGGGGCCTGGAGAAATTGATGGAGTTTTCTTAAAGTGCTTGTTATTAAAATAAGGCTATTTGAGTGACCGAATCATAAGCTACTGGGTTGACGTACTTAATAGTGACCTTAGAAGATGCTCTAATACCCACTTCGTTTGGCCTTGAAATGTCCCTGTAATTAGTCAGATTACAAAATTTTCTCGGGGGCTTGCAGCACCCGAACCCCCGGCTGTGGTGATCTGCCATGGAACAACCCCACTGAAGAAGATAACAGCGGTTACCCAGACCTCGTTGCTGGTGGGAAGGGGCTCACTGTATGGCCCATTTTCAAGGGCTCCACCCCACCACCCCATTCTCCACCATTTGGGCCTCGAGGTCCTTGCGAGGGCAGCAAGGCCCTTCGGACCTTGTTGGATGTTGCCCTATTGTTGCTGGTCGAGAAGGGGCCCCCATAACAGTTCAAGTTCCAGGGTTCCAAAAATGTAGGTCCGCCACTGCCTGGGATTACAACAGGTGATCTGTTCCTATTAAGAAAACGGCTGCTTTCGAAGGTGGATTTTATGGCATTATACCCCGTGGAAGTCCCTCCCCTCCCCCAAAACCCCACCCTCCTCAGGCTCCACTCCCAAAATCTCCAGGAATTTCCCAAACCAGAGCTGGCAACCTTACTTGGTGCTAATTATGGGGGGCAGAATGTCTACCCTTTCCAGGGGGTCTGGCTTGGCCCAAACTGCAGGCCCATGACTATAACTTGACTTATGTACATCACTTTTTATAAATAAAATAGGGTCCGTCCGTCCCCCCCTTCATGCCTCTTGAAATCATATGTATGGGATGGGACTGTGTGTAACTGTCCCAGAGAAACTGGTTTTTGCCCTTGTAGGTAGAGGGAAAACCTGGGATAATAAGCTGTTCCGGAAAGTTTGAAAAATTTTCTCTTTATTCAAGGCCTATCTGTAGGCATCGCTCAGGGAATTCTATAGATCTGCGCGGATCAAGAGATGGATCCGCTAGGTTGTTTTCCTGCACAACCAACACTGAAACAGGGAGGGAGCGAGAGCAAATATAACTATAACTGGGTGCTGTGACTAAGCTTTGGAGGTGTTTGACTCTCTTCTGAGATTCCTTTGAGTGTGGTGAGTTGATAAGTTACATGGCTGTTTAGCCATGATGGGTCAATAGAGCCTCCACATTCAGAGGCATTCTACCTCTGAGTACCAGTTTCTG